GATAGCAATTACGGGAAGGGCCCTGTTTGGGTGTGCATTAATTCCAAAACAGTTTATTTCTGTTTGAAACCGGGAAGGGCCCTGTTTGGATGAACAAAATATCCAAACTAATTTAATTTGAATTCTGGATTTTATTTTATAAAAAAATAAAATTAAATTCAAATGTTTTTGGCCCAAAAAGATTAGAAGCCCAACCACACACCCGCGCCCGCCCGCCCGGACGGATGGTGGTCGCGCGCGTGTGGTGATTTTTGGGTCCAATGGGTCTAGCCCATTTTGCCCATAACCTCTCCCTCTAAAACACTTGGGTACCCCTTGGGGCACACCCCAAGTATCTCACCCTAAGCCTTATAAACCCTTTCAAAACTTCCCACCAAAACAATGTGGGACAAGCCAATTTACAACCTTAAGGAATTTCCACCAAAACTCCATTTCCATGGAGCACACTTTGGCTTCAATTTCCCATTCACTCGGTAATGGTTTTGAGCAACCAAATATACCACGTGAATCACAACGCGGCATAGAACGCGTTACTACTTTGACCCGAGTAAATCAACACTCGGGGCCCACCTAAAAAAATAGACCGAACTTAGGAAAAAAATTCTGATTTTATCCAGAATTTTATAACCATTTCCAACAGTATGAATCATTGTTTGTTTTTTTACTGTCCTATTATGCATTTATTTCCCCTTAATTATATAAAGAGAGAATTTAGGCTGCTTCAAGTTCATTCACTTCTAACTTTCAAATTAGAGTGTTTTTGTTTTTGTCACTTGAATAAAGATTAATAGTTTTAATTTTAAAATTTTAAAAAGAATTTTAATAATATGATAAAGAGTAAAATTCATATGTAATATAATATGTGTGTTTATATATTTATTTTTTTCTCTTTATCACACTATTAAAACTCTTTTTAAAATTCTACAATTACAACTCCCTAACATCATTTTATTTGTCATACTGTTTCGGAAATTTCAGCGATAAAGTAGTAACACATGAATACGAAAAATAAATCACATCAAATGTCTTTCAATCAAACAGAATAGATCAATAATGTGAAGCAAAAGAAAATAAATAGATAAGAAGAAGAGAGGAAAAAAATAAAACAAAATAAAACACAGAAAAAATAGCACTACTCTGAGTCGCCTCCATTAATGATTATTTAAGCTTTGTATTTTTTATTAGGAGAGAGAAAGATTACATATATATATATATATATATATGTTGTGATAAGCAAGGTTTGGTTATCACTTTTATTTATTTATATATATATATATATGTATTAATAAATAAACAAAACAGCAGAAATTTTAAAACAACTTCGTACTTTTTATTTTCAAATTTCTTTTTTTTTTTAATCAACAAAATATAAAATTTATTGATATTTGAAAGAAATTACAACTTCGAAGCGTATATCAACACAACGAAAGAGTGAAATATCAAAGCAACACCTTCCAATCCTAACTAAGTTGACACAATTTTCAAATTTCAATTAGAAGTTGTACCAAATAGACCTATGGTCACTGTGACAACTTATGCTTAGAAAATGCTCCATGGTTCAAGTATGAATGGTATAATAATTAGACATTTCCTACATTATCTGCCAAATGTGGGAGCTATATCAGGATTTCACTCCAAAGTTTGTAGGTAGGGCCAAGGATTGAATTAAGAGATTGGTACCCCATGAGAGCTAATTTGAGGATTGAGGATTGAGGATGGAAGTGACAAAGCATAGGAGGCTTTCTCATCAAGAACTTGCCCAAATTGCTTGTCTTATGCAACCAACTTACTCCAATGGCATCCACCACATGCTTAAGTACATTGTTGCCTACCCTATCTCCTATTTATAGACAAAAATGTAGTGTTTGTCACTTTCATCCCCAAGATGATAATGCATTTTGCAAAATTAAAATTACTCCATATTTTCTAGTGACCCTTTTGCTTACCTGAAACAGCTATAAACAAATAGCCCCAAAGCAAAATTTGATTATTTAAAACAAATAAACAAAGAAAAATTGAGGGTCTATTTGGCATTACTTTCATTTTTTTCGAAATAAAAATAATGAAAAGTTTTTGAAAGTATCCATGTTTTTATTTTTTTAACTTCCAAAAGCAAAAGTTTTTAATTTATAAAATATTACAAAGAGGTAAAGGAAAGCACATAGTTCATGGAAGAAGTATTATTGTGAATTTTTAATTTTTAGTTTTTGGAAAAAAAAAAATACCTTTTCTCAACCACAAGCACGTAGACACTCCAAAGGCCTAAATTACTCCCACATCAACAATCACTTTTAGCATTACCGATGTGAATACTTTTTAGTTTCAAATTCTATGATCTTAAACAACAAAAACTATCGGAAATTATAAATACATTTAATGATATTTATTTAAAATATAAATTGTTTCTTATGATTTGAAAAATTACAAATATCGCATTGTCAGAATTTTTTGTTTAACAAAATTAATTGAAGAATTGAAATTCTTAATTGCTCTCCTATACAGTAATAAAATTACTTGAATTATTAATTAAAATATATTTTTGATGTTATTACTATTAATTGACTTGATAATTTATTAATAAAATAAGATATTTGTTATGATATTAAAAACTTCAAGAGGTTGGATGTAATTTTAAAAATTATAGGGAGTAATCTATATTTTAAGCAAACTTCAAAGGTAAATTTGTAATTTACCCTAAAATAATCTACTAAAGATTTTCTATAACGCCCAATCTTTCTTAAGTGAAATGTACAAATCATTGTTTTACTCTTTCTCTTCTTTTTTTTTTCATTTTTACCCTTATATATATATTTTTTTATCCTTTATTTTTCTATCTATTCTTACTCATTATAATCAATTGTTGCTCACCGTTGTCATCAACAACTCACCAAAAAGTCATCGGAAAAGTTATTGAAAAAGTTGTTAGCAATAGATGGCGGTGGCTGTGGACATCTAGGTGGACACATGGACAAAAATAGGCAAATAGTACTACAACATATAAGAGTTTTATAGACTAAATCTTTTTGTTTCTAAAAGTATAAATTTTGTTGCAAAAAAATAAAATAGTTTCAGTTGTCACGAGTACAGTTGCTAAAAGGTCATTCCTAAAATTCAAAACATAAAAATTTTGAAAACGTCACTAATAAATGCACTTTTGGGAACAAAATAACTTAATCCCAAAAATGTTTATTTTTTGAGACAAATTTTTTGATCCCAAAAGGTTCGTAATTCATCACTAAATATACAATTTTGTCGGCACAAATATTTTGTCTCTAAAAAGTGATTTTATTCCTAAATTTTTATCTCTAAAACCTTAATTTCTTGTAGTGTAGGTAGAGCATTATAGCCTTTCAAATTATTATTTTTCTTATGGATGGAAAAGAATAAAATTTGGGACAATTGTTTCAAAAGTTTCAAATTTGGGCTTTTAGCCCAATTGTACAATAGTTTTTTTTTTTAATCTCAATTTAAATATCAACTAACTCCCGAAATCACTTTTTAACAAAAAAAAAAAAAAAAAAAAAAAATAAAAAAAAAAAAAAAAAAAAAAGTCCAATAAAGAAAACAAGTTGAAAGATACTAAGAAAGAGAAACAAATTGAAATACCTGTTGAAATCAAGGCCATGAGAAAAGGGTAATACATACCAACCTTGAAAATTGCTAACCGTCAATCGGTTACGTGTGGCTTTCAGACCTTATTCACACAACAAACCCAACAAATTGCATATACCCCAACTCAACCCTTTCTCTCTTGCCAACCATCTTTTACTTCTATGCTTCTTTATTATCAATAAATAAATAAAATCTCTTAATTTGGTCCTTTATATTTTATTTTTTTCCCACCTTTTTTCTATACTTGCTTTGCCCATCTCTTTGCCTGTCCCCAATAATGCAATAATAGAGTGTGTGAAAATGACCAAAATGACCTAATCAACTACTATGGTTGTGCGTCCCAAAATATGATTACCAAAGGCATTTTGGTCACATAAATGTAGAACATAGGATGGTGGTAGTTTAGATCATTGAGATGACTTTGTACTAGACTTATCCTTTTTTTATATATATTCCTTAGTTTGCGTTGGTTCCTAAGGACCTATGGAAAATGACAATTATAGCTGACATTTGGAGGTGTCATTTTTGTCCTTTCACCATAAAAGTTAAATATTTTTTTGAATATGTTAAAGAATGACTAAATATTTATTTATTTATTTATTTTGTAACAAACATATTGACATTAATTTTGTTTGCAATGTCTTTATCATACAGAACATATATACATATTCCAAATCTACAATTAAATAATAAAAAAAATCTCAAATGCTATCATGCCATTTATCATTCAAAAAATAAAAAATAAAAAAATACAAAATTTGATATGTGAAAATCAATTTTATTATGTGTCTTGCCTATATTACACTAAATTGAAATTTATATTATGAATTTAAATTCAATTATTTAAGTAAATAATATTATGTTTAACATATGAGCATTAACTTTTTTTTTTTTTTTTTTTTTTTTTTTTTTTTTTTTTTTTTTTTTTTGGTGTGTAGTAACTTGTAATCCACAATAGATCCAAAATACTTTGAATTTTCAACCTCTGTCAAACCCAATAAATCTTCATTACTTTGTGAAACATCAACAGAGGACATTATCCTTTTCAAACTATACATTCTAAGTGGGGTTAATTTTGTCCTTTGACAAGTCTCTTAGCCTCCGTTTGAGTAGTGGATTGGCTTTTTGATTTTTAGATTTTTTAAAATTTTTTTGTGAGAGAAGAATGTAATGATTATGGATTGGATGTGATGTTTTGTTTGTTATGGCTAAAATAACCTATTTTATTTTTTATAACTAAAATAATCAAAAAAAACTTGCAAACCCACTCGCCAAACACAGGCTTAATAACCCAGGTCTTCTATCTTCGTCCTTTCATTAAAAATCTCTACAAAATTTTCTTTGTCATATTGGAGACGAAATTAAATAAATATAAAATAATGTTGAGTAGAAGAGGAGGTGTAGAGGAACAATAGCGACCTCTTCTCTTCCCTCCTCTCTCTCTCTCTTTCTCTCTCTGTTGTTGTGTTCTCTGAGAGGGAGTGAGAGAAAGATACATATATATATATATATATTGATTCCAAAGCCTCCATATTTTTTTATATTTTGTTGTTTGCTCATTTTTCTTTGCAGAAGGCGATTGCAGAGAACAGTGATCAGTGGAAGGAGCAAGAACAAAGAGAAAAAAAAAGGAGAGAAAGAGAAAGAAAGTGAGAGAAACGACACGGAAAGACAACAGACAGAAGTAGAGAGAGAGAGACATAGAGAAGAATTCAAGAGAGGCTTCAATCCCACAGAAGAGAAAAGGATGTCTGAGAGCTTTACACCCTTTTCCACCCTGCAACTATAAGAGGTATATAATTATGTATGCATACATCAATAAAGCTGGAAAAATAAAAATTTAAAAATAAACAAATCAGAAAGAAAAACCCATTTGATGCCTTCACTTTTTTCTCTTTACTTCCTTTTCTATGTTGCAGTGTTTTGATGAATAACCCAAAATTCTATAACGGGTATTGTTTGTGTTGCTTTGCTTGTGTATATGACCGATCTGAAACTAATAAATTGAACAGTACAGAGAGAAAGGAAGCTGGTTTTGTTGAACTGAAGAGAGAGATGATGAAGAACGAGACACTGATATGGGAATAGCAATACCTCTTCCTCTTCCGTATGTGATTTCTCATTCAAAGGCTTACCATCATCAAATTCAAATCTCAGACAAGCCCAATTCTGCAAATTCTATGTCCCAAGACTACCACCACCACCACCACCACCACCAAGGTATCTTCAGTTTCTCAAATGGGTTCGAGAGAGCCCAACACGAACAGCAACAGCAACAGCAACAACAACAACAACAACAACAACAGCAGCAGCACATCGCTCAGCATCAGATCCGCAGGCCGCCGCCATTGGTGGCGATGGAAGAAGACGAATCCGGTGAGCTTCCAGTTTATGAGACCGCCGGTATGCTTTCGGAAATGTTCAATTTTCCACACGGTGGCTCTGGAACGGGCAACGAGCTGTTAGAGAACCAGATATCTCCCAATTATCGCAACACTAGGCCGGCGGCAGCGGAGGGGGTAAGCAGCGGGTGGTACGAAAACAGGATCGGGGGGATAGGCGGTTTGGGACCGCTGAGCGATGATTCGAAGAATCAAAACGTAGTGAATAACCAACATCATCACCATCAGATTTCAAGCATTAATGTCACAGACTCGGCAGCTGCTGCCATGCAGCTTTTTCTGATGAACCCACAACAACCCAAGTCACCTTCACCATCTCCATCTCATCATCCTGCTCCTGCAACATCCTCCACACTTCACATGTTGCTTCCAAATCCAAACCCATCATCATCCACTTCTACTCTACAAGGGTTTCACAGCCACCACCAACACCACCACCAAATTGGTCCTCCTTCCCAATTCACATGGGTTCCTGACAGTGCACATGAAGGAGTTACAACAACTGCTGAAATCGGAGGAGTAGTGGAAAGCCAAGGACTCTCGTTATCGTTATCGTCTTCGTTGCAACACTTGGAGGCGGCGAAAGCTGAGGAATTGAGGATGGGAGATGGTGGGATGCTGTTTTTTAATCAGGTAGGAAGTGGGTCTGCTTCAGCTGCTCAGTTTCCGTACAGGAATTTGGGTGGTCATCACCAGGCGCCACTGCATTTGCAAGGCGGAGGAGTGGATCAAAACCATCAGGTTCATGTTGGGTTTGGGTCTTCTTCATTAGGTGTGGTCAATGTGTTGAGGAATTCAAAATATGTTAAGGCTGCTCAAGAATTGTTGGAAGAATTTTGTTGTGTTGGGAGGGGTCAATTCAAGAAGAGTAAACTTGGAAGACATAATAACACAAACCCTAATCCTAATCCAAGTAATAGCGCCGCCGGTGGTGGTGGTTCTTCATCTTCCTCAAAGGATCTCCCTCCTTTGTCAGCAGCTGATAGGATTGAGCACCAGAGAAGAAAGGTCAAACTATTATCCATGCTTGATGAGGCATGTATTCTCTCTCTCTCTCTCTCTCTCTCTCTCTCTTTAAAATCCCGGGAAAATTCCGGCATGTTTGTCGGAAAATTTTATATTCATGTATTTGTATAGGAAAAAGCCGGCCGGTGAAATGGGTTCTTTAGAAATTAGATTGTATTGGTCGAGTTTGATTACATAATTTTTTATTTTTTTTTTATTTTTTTTTTTAAATATCTATATATTTTTATATCACTGATTCACTTGGTGGGGATATTTTTATATATCTAGATGTACATTGGGTCTTCGTTTGGTGAAAACTTGAGAGAAGACTACTATTTAGGGGCATGTATGTGTCAAGTGTCAAGTTAAGAAGGGACGTTACTTTTGATTGAGAAAGATGGCCAATAAGCTAACAACAGTTACATATGAGCAGCCATAGACATATATAGGTAGTAGTTGGAAATGGCGGGTGTTCTCATCACTTCCATACCCAATCTTGGTAAAAATTGCATACAAAACCCATATTTCATTTGATTATATATATACACACATTTGTATATCAATATCACAGTTGACCTGCGGGTGATTTGTTTTTCTTTTCTTTTTTTCGCTTTGTCGTTGTTTATATCTATGTTCGCCGTATTGGGAAAAGAAAACAAGTAAAGAAACATAACGATATTCTTTGCTCCCATCAACAATCACTTCACACTGTACCTGGGTTTGATCCACACATTTATTTGGGTCTTCATTGATTATATTTATTTTTTTTTGACATCATTAGTCTTTTTTTATTATTATTATTATTATTATATTAAACTCCATAATTGACTTTTATGGGGTTTTTTGGGGGGGGAATATGGGTTTTGTAGGTGGACAGAAGGTATAACCATTACTGTGAACAAATGCAAATGGTAGTGAACTCATTTGACTTGGTGATGGGGTTCGGATCAGCAGTCCCATACACGGCCCTTGCCCAGAAAGCGATGTCGCGACACTTCCGGTGTCTGAAGGATGCCATAGCAGCACAATTGAAGCAGAGTTGTGAATTGTTGGGAGAGAAAGACGCAGGGACATCGGGAGTGACTAAAGGAGAGACACCGAGGCTGAGACTGCTAGAGCAAAGCTTGAGACAACAAAGAGCGTTCCACCAAATGGGTATGATGGAACAAGAAGCCTGGAGGCCCCAAAGGGGTCTGCCTGAACGCTCAGTTAACATTTTGAGAGCTTGGCTTTTTGAGCATTTCCTCCACCCGTACGTCTCACCTTTCCCTCTCCTCTCTCTCTCCTTTCTATTTATTACTCTCCAATCATAATCAACATTAGTTCAAAAAAAAATAAATCATAATCAACATTAATGTTAGCATAATCCCATTTTCTCACTATATTTTATCTATCATTCAATTTGTCAACATATAAGTTTATACCTCATAGGCGTGTTTTGAAAATTAAGTTAAAAATCAATTCATAGTTTTTTTTTTTTTTTTCTTCTTTTTTTTTGAAAAAAACAAATTTTGGAAAACTAACTTTTTTCAAATGCAATAAGTGTACTACCAAAAAAAGTTGGATTCCCCAAAAGGGACCAATATTTTGGGACGGATGGAGTATACAAAATGGGCAGTTCTAGTACATCTTTAATAAAAAAGAACATATATAATAATGAGACTATTTGTTTATTAATTAAGCACAAATCTAGTACACTGCTTTTTATCTTTTCACTTTTAGTGATTATAAGCGTTTAAAGGAACAGCAAGTAATAGCGCCGCCGGTGGTGGTGGTTCTTCATCTCTCGTCAGGTAAAAAAAAGCTGAAAAAAGCCTCTCCTCATTTTGTTTCAATGTTTTTTTTTTTCTTTTCGTCCCTCATGTCAAGAACAACCATAACAGCCGATTAGCTCCCTCCCTGACCCTTTTCATTAGTCCATAAAAAGAATCCCCGTTATACTTTGTTTTCAACGTACATACCATACCACCTAACCCCTCTGTCTCTCTTTATATACGTATCTTTATTTTTATTTTTATTAATAATGTGTTTAATTCTTAAATTTAAAAAGAAATTTGAAAATGAAAAGAAAGAAAATAGATGAAATATGTGTAAAATATAATTACATTTCATACATTTTTTTTTGCTTTCCTTTCTAAATCCCTTCCAACATCTATGAACCAAACAGCCTAACAGTTTATTTAGGAAGTGAGTTTTTAGATTTTTAACATGTTTGAAAAAATATTTTAGTTTTTATAAAATAAAAAAAAAAAAATGTGTAAAATGTAATGTGAATGGAAAGAAAATTTTGATTTTGTAGAATAAATGAGAATAAATCTTTTTGACTTTTTGTATAAGTTGAAAAAATTTTAATTTTTTGACTAAAATAAATACTTTCTAAATGGACCCTAAATTCACATCGTATTAGAATACTGGGCTTATTTTTTAATCTTATTGTTTTGTGAACCATATTTTGAAAACATTGAATATAGATTTGAGTAGTAGTTTGATAAGATTATTTCATTAAAATCATGTTTTTAAAATTCAAAAGAACTTGCACTTAGAAAATAAATTTTTAAAGAATTTATTTTGATTATAAAAATAAAAAATAAAAAAACTATCTATTTATATAGTATGAGAAATATTATAAGGTCATTCATTTTGTATCATTTTTTGATATCACCTATTACATGAATATTAAGAATTCATTATTTAGAAAATCATTTTAAAAAATAAAAAATATATATTTTACCATATATCTCAATAATATAAAAAATCATACTAATGATAGTCCAATAAACTATCATCAAAAGATACAAAATGATAGTCTAATAAATATTTTAGATTCTCCTAACACTTTTTACACATTTAAAAATAATTTTACATACTTTTACACATTTCAACAAATTTTTTACACATTTACTTATGTTATGACAACCAAAGAATTGTTATTAACACGTTCCTAATATAAAACAGTAATTTCAACAACTCAGATAAATAAATCAAAAAAGAACCCAGAAATTTTAATCAAAGGTTGAAATATACTTATAGTTGAGTCCCACAATAACAACTTCAAATATATGGTCATTGATTACAAAATAAAAAAATAATAAAGACTTACATTTTCAAACTCACAAATTCACACACAACAGTAACATGATAAGATATATCATTGGGATATAACATCCAAAAAGTTAACGTCCATCATATTAATTATAAAAACTTTGATGGGTGGACGATTGATTTTCTGATTTATTATATAAGTTACTGGACTTTTTGAATATTAAAAATGATAAAAGGATGAGTGATATATGTTAGAGAAGAGCGGGTCTAGTTGTCATCTATAGTTCAGCTTTTTTGAACATCGTCTATTCAGCTGGTGCTGCTGATGATGCATGCATGTTCAGCAGCAGCAGCAGCAGCAGCTGCTTTCTTAGATATTGACGCCCATGATTTGGGTAACTAGCAAGGACCCTTTGAGGAGAGCTTTCATGTCATTTTCATCTTCATATTTTTATTTTTATTTTATCACTCAGGTACCCCAGCGATGCAGATAAGCATCTCTTGGCACGTCAGACTGGCCTCTCCAGAAACCAGGTATTTTCCTCTCCTCTCTTACATCCCTCTCTTACCCATCATACCCATACCATTACATTCATATATACAGTCACTAATCTATATCTATATCGGTATCTATGGGGGTGTTTGGTAAGAAAAAAAATAGCTTAGTTTAGGCTAAAATTCACAAAAAGATAAAATAGGCTAAAATAATTAATAAGACAATATCACATCAAACCGATAATCATTTCACTTTTTCTCTCACAAACATCACATGCAATTACAAAAAAATCCAATCATCTTCCCAAACACAAAAATTTTAGCCTACTAAAATAGCCAAAAACTAAAATAGCCTATTAAAATAACAACTTTCCAAACGAAGCCTATATATATGGTAGTACAAACCAAAGAGCTATTACAGTTAGAGAGTGAATTCAGCCTTTTTTTTTTTTTTTTTTTGGGTGCTGTGAGCTTGTTCTTTGAGAAAAACGAACAGTGATGATTAATCAGAGAAAGTGATAAAAGAGTTAGTAAGTAAGTACTGTTGGAATTGCATGGTTTTGGGTTTTTATTTCTCTCTTCACTCGTGGATTTTCTCTTTTTTCTCTTAGACAAACTGCCAAATCCATTTTTTTGTTTTTCCTTTTTTTTGTGTGTGTGTGTGTGTGTGTGTTTTCTTATGCTTTTTGTTTATTTGTATTCTTTATAACCAACACATATATCCGGGAAACAGTGAAGAAACTCTGGGGATAATAGCCGCAGCGACAGATACGGAATAGAATGAGAAATATGAATTGTTTTCTCCCTGTCTCTCTATCCAACAAATGACAAATACTAAATGCAAGATGTCCCTCACCAATAAAATATAACAAACAAAAACAATATGAAAATGTTTAAGAATTTAAAAATCAATACCAAAATCAAACATAACTTTCTCATATACAATACTATTAACTTCTAATTTGATTTCGTCATAAAGTATATTTTATTCTTTGAGTAATTTCTCTTTTTTTTCCTAAATGAAAAGTAATAAAACTTGAGACTCACTCAATTACCTGTAGAGAAAAGAAAATACAATAAGAAATATAATGTAAGATCATATGTAACATTTTTATTCCTGTTTTGTTTCTTACCCATTGAACTTTGGTTCAACACAACTTTTTCTGTCGCTTTATAACATTACAAGAAGAAAAATGAGAGCCAATGTGTCATATCAAAGTTATTGTAACCATAATCTTCATAATTAATAGCAGTTGGTTGTAGCATAATATTAAAAGGGTTTCTTAACAAATGCTCAGATCACTATGACATTCCTTAACAAAAATTTTAGTAAAAAATTATGAGAAGAGCCAAAAATTTGCAAAATGCTATAGGGCAAAGAGAAATTAAAAAATCCAAAAAACATTAGTTGAATAACATATATTTAAAAATTATAAATTTATGTATGATTATATTTTTTTTATAATTTGATGTGACACACTAACTATAATCATTACAATAAATTTAATGTCAATGTCATTATTGTCTAATATAAATCTGGCCCGGTGTACATTTTTTAGGTGTTTTTTTGGATATTTTTTTGAATATGTATTATTATTATTATTATTATTATTATTATTATTTTACCTATGATAAATTGTGGGTGGGCGATGAAAGTGTCTTTTCACCGAAAGACTTTTTTTTTCATGAACCAAAAGGACTCAATAATTAAGAAATTATACAGAGATGGAGGACAATTTGAACAAATTTTTTTTAAAATTATGAGCCACTATTGTGTATGTTTTTATTTGAAATTACAAACACAAATTCATCCCATCATTTTGTATGAGAATTATGTACGAAAATTCTATTGATATAGCATTACCAAAAAAATAATTGAGAGGGAAAAAGCTGGGGGGGGAAAAAAAAATCTCTTCCCAATTGTTGCATGTAATTAATGTATATCATTCAAACAGTCCAATTAATTATTCCTCTACATTGATCTGTCTGGTAAAATAAATGTTTGGTCCCCCTCCCCCAATTCAATTAAATACCAATCTCATCTCCATCTTAGCAATAATGTTCTAACGTTTGTGTTTTAAATTTCAGGTCTCAAACTGGTTCATTAATGCCAGGGTCCGATTGTGGAAACCCATGGTGGAAGAGATGTACCAACAAGAGAGCAAAGAAGAAGAAGAAGAAGAAGATGACGCGGATCCTGATCCTGATCCTGATCATAATAATAATAATGATACTGATGAGCGAGAAACAATTAGGCAGCAAAACAGTGCCCTTGCACAAACACCAATGCCTACTACTACCACAACAACAGTCACAGGAGCTGTTAACTCTGTTGCCACTGCACCCCCATCATCATCATCAACTACAACAACAACAACAACAACAACAGGCAAAAGATCCCAAATCAATGCACTTGATAACGACCCTTCACTCATGGCAATCAATGCCCAATATTTCTCGGAAAACCAAGCACACCGCCCCACCACCACCGTCTCCACGGCCACCACTATTCATGACTCCAACACGTGTCGCTACGGCAATTATGGAACCATCGCCACTGCCACTGCCGCTACCGCTACCGGGAATCCTGATATTGGAATTGGATCGACACTAATCAGATTTGGGACCACGACGGGTGATGTGTCGCTCACTCTAGGACTTCGGCATGCCGGGAACGTGCCGGAGAAGAGTCCTTTCTCGGTTAGGGATTTTGGGTCATGTTGAAATTTTATATATATATATATACACAAAGTACCTTGATGAAAACAAATTTTATATATATATTTGGTTTTGGTCCCTCTCATGATTCTCAGGACTTATGTTAGTCATTTTCTTTTTTGTTGTTTGATTCTATTAAGAAAGAAAACAAATTTACATCATGGGAAAAGTAGGGATTTACGTTAGGTGGGTAGCTCTGTATGAGGTCTATTGTAATTGTATAGGACACTGTTTTTTTGGCTTCCTTTATATGTACTTCGTTAAGGTTTTGTACTTAATTATCTCTTAAATAATTTATGAAATGTCGGCTTTAGTAAGAAAAGTTTGGGGACTACAGCTTCATGCCCAGAAATTTTGAGAATTAATTTATTCAGGAGTAGTAAAACGTAGTTTGACATTCAATTACTATATTATAAATTTCATATCTTAAAATAATCTAAATCATATGATGAAGTTTTAAAATATAATAATACTATATGTACCAATTAGTGTACTAATTAGTGTACTAATTGATAATATGACATAATTTAAAAGATTTTTAATATTTATATTGTGATTAATAAGTAGAATCAATAATAATGTCATAATTAATATTAATACACTAATTAATATATTAATTAATACATGTACCACCACCATTTAAAATATATTTTTGCATATGTAATTTTGCTCATGGGAGGGGGACCTTTGCACTTACTCTTCTTAATGGGCAATAAAGTATTGTGCTTTTAATACTCGCTTGTTTCAATTTGTGTAATTATTATATTTTAATTTAAATTTAAATTTTTTTTTTATCATTACCGACCTACTTAAATTTTAAAATATGTTTATAATATTTTATCAAGAGTAGTTTTAGAAGTCTAATAAAATTTAATATTTCAAAATAAAAAGTAGACAAATATTTTGAAACTAATTACACTACAATATATAAGAGTTTTAGAGGTTAAGTTTTTTTGTCTCTAAAAATATAAATTTTGTTGCAAAATCCATTTAGCGACTAATTTTAATTGTCACGAGGAATCGCTAAAAAGACGTCCCGAAAAATAAAATAAAAAAAAGGAGCTTCTAGAGACAAAATTTTGAAAATATCGCTAATAAATGTATTTTTAAAGACAAAATAATTTGATCTCAAAAAGATTTATTTTTTGAGACACTTTCAGTTTTAAAAGGTTAATAATTCATCAATAAATGTCTAATTTTACAGCTAAAAATAAAATAATAACACTTTTGACAATAAAAATATTTTGTTTCTAAATTTTTGTTTTTAAAATTTTAATTTCTTGTAGTGTCCCAATGGATAGGTGGATAAATAAAATGAGAAGATTGGAATATGTTATAGATATAGGTGTGTTGTTGTCATTGTTGAAATTCGGAAAAACCCTAGAATGGACAAATGTTTATCCAATTTTACCATCAGAGGATTGAGTAGTGAAAGATGAGAGAGAGTGATATGTGTACCCTATGCCGTCAAATGGAGGAAACCACAAAACAGGTGGTGAACTTTATTTGTGATTCAAGATCAGGGGGTTTGTTTGGTGGTGGTGTTTTCTCTTCAGTTGCATAAAGTCAAATACTGTAGATAGATAATATTAGTTGGACATACAGACAAGTGTCACCATTAATAAGATATATAATATACTAGCAAAAGATATTTTTACATCATATCTTTTTTTATTATTATTAGTAAAGGAAAAATTTTATTAAAAAATATGAAAATAAAGATGTAGGAAGATGCAAACTATCGAGAGAGATTCGGATAGTACAAAATACTCTTATTGTTGTAACTCGCAAATATACAATTAACCTCTCGACCTCACGATTAAAAAAAAAAAAAAAAATCATGAGATTTGCACCTTGCTCCTATGAAAGGCCTCCACTTGTTAATTCATTTATATTGACGCTATGAAGCTTTGGTTTTGCCTATCTTTTTCATGATAAATGACAAAAGAAAGTATTGTCCTACATCTCGTGTATTGAGAATATATAATATAAATAATAATAAATATTAATAATTTATTTTTATTTTTTTAATGAGTTGATGATCAATAATTTAACATGATAACAAACTAACCAATAAATATTTTTAGCCAACTTAAATAATATAATAAAATTATCTCTATTTCTAAACGTTTATATTTTTAGATTAATGTTGGTTAACAATTTAATAGTTTGGTTGTTTTTTTTTTTATTTTATTTTATCACACAGAACTTGGTTCAGCAAATTGTTTCCGAAAATTATTTTGAGAAATTGCTTTTTAAAACAATCCACTTCGTGTGAAATGCTAAAATTTGTTTTCAAATTCTCAAATAAAAAGGATGTTTATTTTTAAATTTTCCATTATTTTTATTTGTGAAAACATGAAAAATGAAAACAAAAGGCATCTTGGAGGTTATGCAATAATGTACATGCACCCATTCTGCAACAATTGTTAGCACTCAAAAGTTGCAAGCTTAACCTTCAACATCATCAAATCAACAAAAGATAAGAAATAAGAAAAGAAAATATGTGCACTATCTTCTCTCCTCTCTTGCTTGTATAGCAGATGAGGTAGTAGGTTAGTTACCTGATAACTGATGCCAAGACAAGACAGTTCCTTAAAATCCAAAACAATTGTATGCAAAGCAACAACTACCTTTTACCATCTATATATATGTTGCTTTCTAATTCAGACATAACAAATAATTAACCAACCACACTAACCGAATGCTACTGGTTGATTTACTAAGTTGTTGTGCTGCTACAATCAGTTCATGTTCCTTTTGAATATGATATATATGTATGGTTCAGGACCTGTCAAATTGTTATTGAGCTTTCATAGAACAAAATACCTATTTAGCTGATTCATTTTGTTTTCTAGTTTACGTAAAAATGAGTAATTGAAAAATATATAACTATTAGTACATTACTAACCATTTTCAGAAGCATTTTTTATTTGTATTTAGTATTTGCTAACAAGAAAGTATAATGTCATGTGTTTAGATCTTGAATTTGTAAAAGAATTTGCACAAAAAATGGAGAAGGAAACTTTCAACACCAAAAATAAATAAATAAATAAAATAGCAAATTAACTTCAAATTTTTAATTAAGAGCTCCACATCAAAATTATGACATTATATTTCGAGATTATTAAATAATTATCTCAATATATATTTATATATAATCAATATGTTGTTATGTGGAATTAATGGCATTCTCAACTACCAAGCAAATATCGCTGTCAAATGCATTCCATTCTGATCTATGGGTCTAGGTTTAGTAGCGAAATATAACTAAACCCTTAATTTCATGATTAAGGAATAACAATCCTCCAAATAATTAAGACATGTTAATAAATAAATTCAAAAATTCTTCTGTCAGGGCCTCTTCTTGTGGGGTCCGTTGACGTCCAATGAAATACCACCATTCGAACTCAGGATTCGTTGAGGAAAATGCATGCACAATGTGGTGTAAGTGAACCAATACTTAGGGTTGGAGATGGAGAGTGGTGTACGGTTTTGTTTATATACAAGATATGTTTTTTTGATTAGCAAAGAAAAGAATTTTATTGATGAAAAAAACTATTACATCAATAAAGAAAAAAAATGATGAGTGCAAAAGCATGCAGCAACCCATCAAGAGTTGTTGAGGAACCAACCACAAACACTCAAAACAACTTCACCTAAATAAAGGTTAACTAAGCCTAAAACATAACACCGGCAAATCAAACCAGTGAAGGGCTAAAATAACAGCAGCATGGTCTGATTCAGAACAACCACATTCAGCACAACCTACCATACAGAATTGATAGCAGCAGAATGAAACACACCATCCACAAGATAGCAGGCAAAGACTGGGGATCACAGATGCAAGTCTGAAACTTAGGCCAGATCACCTTCAAGCAGAACTATACCAAATACTTGAAATTTAGCCCAGATCACCACAAGCAGAACTGATAACATCAGAATGAAAGCCCAGATCACCCACATAAGACAGAAGCAGACACCACTACAAGAAAACGGAGCTAAACAGTATCTAATTTGTGAGAAGTTATAGAAGAAATCATAAATTGAGAATTGAGACTCCTTGAATGCAGCCTTTAACCAGATAGCAAGTTTGGTGATTATAAGCTCCTGCAGCTCTAGCATCTTAGGCTGAGATCCATCAAAAGACAGAAGCAGACACCCTAAACCAGACCACCACCTAAACAGTATCTAATTTGTGAGAAGTTATAGAAGAAATCATAAATTGAGAATTGAGACTCCTTGAATGCAGCCTTTAACCAGATAGCAAGTTTGGTGATTATAAGCTCCTGCAGCTCTAGCATCTTAGGCTGAGATCCATCAAAAAGGCATTCATTTCTGTGTTTCCAAATGGACCAAAGAGCCACTAATGGTATGCCTTGCCAAATTCTCCTTTCGTTTTTATTACAACAGTGCCCTGCCCACCATTGTAGCAAGCCTTCGATGGATCTTGGTACCACCCAGACAGCCTCCCACCACTGAAGTAGACCAGACCATATCCTCTACACCAAAGGAAAAAGAAGTATTACATGTTCAATTGTTTCCTGTGTTTCCTGCTGAGTTTTACAAAAGATGCACATGGTGGATGCAGATAAATTTAAAATACCAACCCGATTCAAGAACACTGATGTTTTGTGTGATACCCCTATCCCGTAATATGCTGATTGGTACTTAATTTGAGTATGATTATGTGTTTAGCATGATTTTATGTGCCATTATGTGAATGTTTGTGATTTTGAAGTCTTATCTGTTCACCGTAGGAATACCTGTCTGAATAATCTGTTTTGGAAATCAAATTGAGGGCCTTATCGGCCACAGAACCCGAAATTGATTACGCCATCGTGATTGGCATAATTTTTAGAGCCTACGGTGAAATTTAATTAGAAATTGATTCGGGTTAGATTAAATCGATTAAATTGATAAATAATGCCAAATTACTTTATTATTATTATTATATTGTGAGTGGGGATTTATGTAAAGGCATGTTACACTCAATTCCCTTCCTTTAACTTCATTTGGGCTGATCAACTCTCTAGAGAGAGGCAAGGCCGGCTGTTAGAGTGAGAGATGAGAGAATTGTGCAAATTTGGCCTAAAGCTTGGGAATCTTGGAGATTTAGCTCAAGAATTGACTAGAGCCTAGGAGATCAAAGCTTCTAGGTGAGTAATTCTTGGAGTATAGTTTGTTATTTTGTGTGTTCAAGCTAATTTGGTGATCAAGAGTAAGGTTAAAATGGAATTGGGTTGTATTTGTTGAATTGAAGCTTAATATGTGCATGCATGTAGGAAATCACCTTGATATTGCATGTTTGAGCACAAATGT